AAATCGGTTACAAGTTGCAATTCTTAAAATTTTGCCTCACCACGTTGAGCTTGAGCCTATTTAATCAAATAAATGTGTAATATACATTTGACCTACCATTGTTCACACAGTACGACATTTCTATTAAATAAACATTTTTTCAGTTAAACAACAAAAGGTAATTGGAGATTTCATCGAGAAAGCACGACAGCATTTCGTTGGCTCGTTTCGTTTTCGGGTTCTAATTCAACCGGAAAAACGAATACAATCTATTTTATACTGTAAACGAAACGAAAAGCGGAAATGGAAAGTTGTGTTATGTAGTTACCGCTGACATGTTCAAGACTTGCTTTAGGTATTGTAAGTAACTATTAGATCTATTAACTAGTATTAACTAAGTATTTAGTAAAGTATTCTGCACACATTTTTACACTTCCTTTTTAAAAGGGCAGATAGGTTTTTATATTTTATATGCACAACAGATCTAGTAGTTCTAGATCTAGATCTATATTCTATAATGATAATCTAGATCTAGAATCTAGATTCTAGATCTACTTTTACTTTTTTAGGTTAGGGGCTAGGGGTCATCCATAAATGATGACGTCACGCTTTTTTGACGATTTTTACCTCCCCCCTCCCCTCCGTCACACGTCTTCACAAAAAGTCAGACCCCCATCCCCCTAAAATGAAGTCACACCTCAACCTACAACCGAGTACAACCCCCCTCAAAATTGCAGTTGAATTTTTTAAAAACATCGATATTTTTCCAAAATCTTGTCTAAACTATTACAATTTATTAAAACAGTTATCTAAAACGTGAAATAACGTCTAAAATTCGTTTTCTAACATTGCTTTTTTATAATGCAAAAATGTGACGTCGCAACATCTGACCCCCCCCCCCCCCTCCCCCTCATCACACATCGTCACAAAATTATGGACCTCCCTCCCCCCTACAAGTGTGACGTCATTTAAGGATGACCCCTTAAATTAATTTAACTAATAAAATTATAAACAACATTAATAAACAAACAATCAATCAATACTCTAAACATTTTATTTATTTTTTATTAATTTTAATTATTTAATTAGATCTAGATTTAGATCTATTATTTCAATTTAAAAAATATTTTATTTATTTGCTGCCATAACGGCAACCCTTGCTGAATAGTGAAACATTGATCATAAGCCCTAGGTAATAATTTATAATAGTAGATCTAGGCACGGAGGCCTTTTTTCACATTGGCCGTTTTAAAATGAACAAATAAAACAACAATTTAATAACAGCATTTAAAAAAGCAATTGCATAATAATGACGTAGCAGTAACATAGCACTAAAAATGTGGAATAAAGAAATAATATTAGGCCTACATACTACTTATTACAACTACATAGATTTAGTTATAATTATTAGTTATATATAATACAAAATATTAAATATATTATAAATAAGATAAAATAAGAATAGGGCCAGGGCCTATAGAGTAGAATCAGTAGATGAATGAGAAATGTTTTAATGAGTCAGTTAGAGAGGTAATTAAATAATTATTTTTTTAGTTTAGTTTTGAATATATTTTCAGATCTAGATTGTTTTATTTTATTAGGAAGATTGTTCCAGAAATTAGAACCAGAACCAAAGCTATGTTTTTGGAAAAAAAATTTTTTTTAATAGGGACATTTTTAGAAGATGAATATAAAAATATGATCGGAACAAGTGAGGTTGTGATCCATAATCAAACCTAGGCATTTGTAACTGTTAACCTGTTCAATGTTTGTAATGCATAATGATGTGGATGGAAGACGAAGGCGTTTCTGATGAGTAGTAGGCCTAATAATCATTGACTTAGTTTTATCGGGGTGAAGTTTCATTTTGTTAAATTTTGTCCAAGTAGCAAGCTGATTGGCACTTGTTTGAAGTTGATAACTAAGTGAGTCAGCGCTGTCTGCAAAGACATGTAACGAAGTATCATCAGCGAACATCTCGCACTGACCTGCGTTGATATGCAATGCAAGATCATTAATGTATAATGAAAAAAGTAAAGGACCTAAGATTGAGCCCTGGGGAACCCCTATAGTAACATATTTCTGTGAAGAGATGGTATTAAGGTGGAACACGCGTTGAGATCTGTTAGATAAAAAGGAGTGAAGTAACCCAACTGTAAATTCGTGGAATTTGTAAGGAATTAGTTTTTTAAGAAGTATGGTGTGATCAATAGAATCAAAGGCTTTTCTGAAATTGACGAACAGCGTGCCACAAAGTAGGTTTTTGTTAATATTTTTAAGCCAGTTTTCATTAATTTTAATCAAAGCAGTGTGACAAGAATGAAACTTTCTAAACCCAGACTGATTACTATGGAAAAGCTTATGCTTTTCTAGGTAGTTTGACATACATTTGTTTATATGTATTTCTAGTGGCTTGGAAAGGGGGAGAAAGTATAGAAATTGGCCTGTAGTTATTAGCATCTTGAATGTTACCTTTTTTATTTAGTGGTATAACCTTAGCAAGCTTAAAATGTTTCGGGTAATATTGCTTGGCAATACAGAGGTTATAGATATAGGTTAAAACTTCAGAGATTATTGGAGCTGAAATCTTCAATACTTTATTAGAGATGTCATCAAACAAAGTTGTTGTAGACGGTTTAAGAGATCTTAGGCTAACATAAACTTCATGAACAGTGAGAAGCGGAATTATCAGCTCTGTCCTACCACGGTGAGCAGAATTACAAAAATGTTTAAGCTCCTCACTGATTGTGTAATCAGCATCTTTGAGATGATATAAAATGATTGTTGAAGTCATCAGCAGATATCTGGCAATGTCTAGCTGTATCGCATGTGCGTTTTTTTCTAATTATTTGATTTAGGGCAGTCCAGATAGATTTGGATTTAGGTTTGCCCTACAACAACTTATTAAAATACCCCTTCTTCGACCTAAGCATGAGCAGTTTGACATAATTTCGTTGCTTACAAAAGTCCTCAGTTGTTCATTTCGTCTAAGCCAGTCTCTTTTATTAATTGCAGATTCGGTATTGTTGTTAAACCAAGAAGGTTTGTTTGTAGTCTTAACCATTTTAGAGATTTTAGGTATATGTTAATCATATATAGTATAGAAAATACAAAGCCATTCAGAAATTGGCTAGATTGGGACAATTGTAATTGTATACGTTGAAGAAAGGGGCAGCCAATAAATTCGCAAGAAAAAGATTTTCATTAAATTTTCTAAAAGAGCGATAATTTATAGTGATGTGTTGCCGCGAAGGTACACCTAATCTTTTCGGCGAAAATGTACAACAAACAGGGAAGTGGTCACTAACACCACAAGAGGGGACACAGACCTCTATTAGATTGCAGTCAGGTGATGTGTATATGTGATCAATTATTGTACTTGGTTTGTTATTGACCCTGGTAGCCCTGTGTACAAATTGTTTTAGATTTAGAGAATCAACAACACCTTGCCAATATCCTTGAGGTTTTAGTAAATTTATATTAAAATCTCCCAATATGATATATTCATTATTAGTAGGTAAAACAGAATCTATCATGGAGCTAACACGATCATAACATTCCATGTTTTCGCAGGGATTTCTATAAAGGAAGCAAATTGAAATTGCTGGATGGTATTTGCTATTTTCCAGTTCAATCCATATACATTCCATATTGTCCGTTGACAGATCCTTCCTGTACTTGAAACGAATGGAGGAGTGGACATAAACACAAAGGCCAGTTTCTTTGTGTAAGGATGGGTCTCTGTTTATTAGGTTATAATCAGTGGCGGATATCTCATCATCATTTATAAAAGATTGTAATCGAGTTTCAGAGAAACCAAAGATATGGAAAGGATTGTTGGAATTGTTTAAATTTTTTAGAACTTCTAGGTGTTTATTAAATATGTGGAAAATATTTAAATGGCCCAATTTTAGCCTACTTTGTGAGGGCCAGGATGATGAAAATAGACAATGCATAAAAATAGTAAAATATCAATTAATAAGAGATTAAAAACAAAAATCAATATAATAAACTACTTTAAACAGAATCAATATAGATCTAACTGTCTTACAAGTTCACACTTTGTCACGAAATAAATCAAACAGTCGCTGCTCTTCACATTGCCTTACTGTTTTTCACGTTCAAGGCGTGCTTTTGGTATTGTAAGTAACTAAGTATTAAGTAAAATTTTCTGCACTCATTTTTACACTTCCTTTTTATAAGGACAGATAAGTTTTTATATTTTATATGCACAACAGATATAACGTCCTTGATTCTAGAGTAAACATTGAGTTAAAAAGCCAATTTTGTCTAATCTTAAAACTGGTTTGCGTGCAGAGTTTTATCCATGCAATTGTTCGGGTAGGGGCGACACACCCCCCCCCCCCCCCTTAAGAACATTTAAGCCCCCCTCTTATAAGAAATGATGTCATCGATACTCTATAATAAAAAGACTGACATTACGGCCTAATACATGTGTCTAATCTTAAAAGTGGTTTGGGTGCAAAGTTTCTTTCATGTAATTTTTCTGGTTGGGGCGAAGCCCCCCCTCCCCCCACCATTTTGCGTGTAGAGTTTCTTTGATGCAATTCTTTGATTAGTGGCTAAGCGCGACACCAGTGTTTCTTTCAGACTTTTTCCTCTCAGAGGGGGAACTTGAAATTTTCTAATCTAAAAAGTGTTTTGCGTGCACAGTTTCTTTCATCAGGTAGGGGCGAAGCCCCTCCCAGGCTCTACCTTTAGTTTTTATGATCAACAAATGTGACCAGTGTTTCTTTCAGACATTTTCCTCCTCGGAGAGGGATGGGGGTACTTGAAATTTTCGGGGACGGGGTGGAATTTTCTGGGAGGGGCGGACATTGGAAAATGTATTTAATTATATTTCGTTGAATGGGAAAGTAGATGTGCTTTGGTGTGTGGGAGGGGGGGGGGGCTGGGCGGAGCCCCCTCCTCCCAAGTAGAGTCGCCTGAAAGAAACTCAAAATGTGACTTTTGTCATGATTGAGATTAGGTGCATGGTTTAGGGCAGGGGTCTCCAAACTATGGCCCTCGAGGCCCTCTCTTCCGGCCTGCGGAGATCTTTTTATACACGGAAAAAAAAATGTTTGTTAGAGGTGGCTGAGGAACTTTACCCAGAAGATGTAAAACAATTTGAATATGTAGCTTTGGGTGCAAATAACACTGCCCTCCATGTTGCAGACATTGATGAAAACATTGTGACTCAAATAGTGACAACTGCTAACAAGTTTCGCAATTTTTCAATTGCAATGGATGAGTTGCTGGACAGTTGTTCCATATTTTTGGAACAAGTACTGGGCAACAAGCTGACGCACTTTCAGCAGTGCAAGGTCTTCATGGCTGAAGCAACAGCTGTGTTCCCCACATCATTTGCATGCAAGATCATCAAAGACTTCAAGCTTCGGTTTCAGTAGCGGTTTTCTGACTAGGATTCAAAGGCAGAGGAAGTGAGACTGTTTCAAACCCCAATTGAAGCAAATGTAACCAGTTGCCCAGATGAACTGCAGATGGAGGTAATTGAATTGCAAGCAAATGACCTCATTAGAGACAAGTTCTAAAAATGGGGGGTGGGTTTTTGTGTTTGCCCAAGAAGAACAAACTTGGACCTCGAGTGTGTTGTCAGCCCCCGACATTGTTTCTTTCAGACTTTTTCTCCTGGGGGGGGATATTAAATGTGTATATATTTCTAAATTATATTTTGTTGAGGGGGGGGGGGGGTGCAGGGGACTCCGAACGGAAAAAAATCTGGCCCCCGAACTGATATTTGATAATGCGGCCCTCGGACTGAAAAGTTTGGAGACCCCTGGTTTAGGGGAATGACTATGACTATATTTAGTATAAATGCGCTTAACTACTTGTAGATCAAGCTTAAATCCGATTAAAATGCCAATTCTGGATAAAAATCCGTTTTCAATGTCAATTTTCGTTTCTGGTATTTGAGGTAAAGGTGGTTGCGTTTTGTTTTTTTTTGGTTTAGAGAAAAGAGACAACACTATCAACCTAGCGCCCATTGTATCCTTCCTCAACGGGCCATTTATCTTGTTTTAATAATATAGATCTAATTTTTAATTTTTAAAATATTTTATTTATTTGCTGCCATAACGGTGACCCTTGCTGAATAGTGAACCATTATTCATAAGGCCCAACTAAACACTACATTCAAAATGAAATTTTCAATTTATTAACTATATTTAAATTAAGGCATATGAATGGCGATATGGCTAGTCTACCACTTATATACTGCTACAACACAGTGTTTGGTATGCAATTCCTTTTACAGTTTACAGTAACGGGTAACATAGCCTCACTTGTTTTTTTACACAGTTTATATTCAATTTCAAATGTATTGTTATCTTTAGGGCAGTTTAGGGTAACCCTTTTTGTTAAGTTTATATCTTTTTGTTAAGATTATTTATAGTTTGTTCAAGTAATTATTTACATACTTCTAGAATTTTTCCTTAATGGCTGAAGCGCATTCCAGTATCGATGAAAAATTATCTGATGAGTCAGTCTCTCCAGACATTCAAATAATTACAAATGGTAACGAAGAGGATTTAGGTATGTAGCTTACTGTAGAATTTTTGTGTCACATCCATTTCTTACTCTTGTATTTTTTAAATTTTCTTTTAATTTTAAGTCTTCTGTGTTAATGTTAATGTTTGCATATTGTGGTGATAGTTGTTACAAATTGGCAGTGTTGTTTGTTATGACCAGACAAGGCTTAAGAGAGTATATTAGGATATCAGATTCTTTTTACCATCATAAAAATAGTTCAGTAAATTGCATTGATAAAAATTTGGAATACATATTAGCTATTTTGGGCCTAGTATGAAGTAATTATTGCTGATTTTTTTACTTTCTTTTGTAGGAAGTATAGAGGAACTATTGTAATAGTGCAAAAAAAAAATCTCGATTTTTACAAATCTCGACGTTTTACACCTACCTGAGTCAGAAAAACATAGTTTTGCAATCTTGTCCTTATGTCTGTGTGTGTGTGTCTGTGAACATAATAACTCGAGTACCGTTACAGCTAGGTTGATGAAATTTCATATGTTAGTATAATATCAAATTTGTAGTTCAGTATCAACTTTTCAGCGATTTCCGGTAACCGGAAGTGGAACTTATTCTACTTTGAATTTTTCAAAAGCCCATAACTTGAGTACTGTTTCAGACAGATAAATGAAATTTTACATGTAAGTAGAAGATCTAATTCTCTGCCTTTTGTCAAATTTTGAGTAATTTCCGTTGACCGGAAGTAGAAATTTATGCTATTTTCGATTTCTAAAAAACGCATGTAAATTTATAAAGTACTAATAATATTCCGCACTATCATACAGGATTGTTTGGCATTCACTTGGTGCTAAATTCTTTTTTCTATGAGATTTTATTCGATTTTAAAAAGTTTAAGTAATTAAAAATGGATTAAAAATCATGTCTATATCCCTAGTTGCCATCCCTTGTAGTGTTATGTAAGAATATTCGAGAAAGTGTAGGGGATATCACTCCAAGTTTCCTTATTATAAAATAATTATTTGACAAAAAGTCTTTTAGAGATAAACCTAATTTTATATGTTAAAGTAGATGTTAAATGAACGCAGTACTTGTGCAAAACTGACTTTTCAAATACGCAAGTTAAGTTTTGTGGTAATCTAAATTTATTTTATTCAACCATGTTAAAAAGTTTCATTAGACTTAGGCCTGCTACAAAATTCTTGTCTCTTTCATAAAGATAATATAAAGTATCACATTTAGAGAATTTTAAAAATATCTTTCCACAACACATTCATATTACCCTAAAATCAAGACATAGCTTATTGATTTGAAACTTAACCAAACATATGTCACTTTTTATGGTATCCTCATTTGTTCTTACAATCTTTATGATCTTACTGTGTTCTAAAAAATTGTCATGCCCCAGTGAGCAGCTTATCTCACAAAAGATGCTACACAGTGTATTGACTAATTTGTATTTTCTAAAGTAAATCCTTTTGTGTATCTGCAGGCTTTTTTGTATCATTTTTTGTTCTACTATTCCTCTAGTTATAATTAACCCACCAAAGGCTAAATAGTGGGCCTTAATTTTATTAAAACAATTAACTTGCGCTGTACAGAAGTACACTCATAATTTTTTTTCTCTGTTTATGTATAATAAAAAGTTTACTGGTGGCCAGTAGGGTAGGTGAAGTAGAATGCACCTGTTTCTGTAAGAAGTAAAAATATGCTTTCGAATCTGGTGGTCCACACATCAGGTGCAGTGGAGTTGACCTGTTTCTGTTACCTCTGCATATGAATGGATAGTGTAGTCAGCACACATCTCTAGTGTGGTCAGCACACATCTCTAGTGTGGTCAGCACACATCTCTAGTGTGGTCAGCACACATCTCTAGTGTGGTCAGCACACATCTCTCATGTGGTCAGCACACATCACTAGTGTGGTCAGCACACATCTCTAGTGTGGTCAGCACACATCTCTCATTTGGTCAGCACACATCTCTAGTGTGGTCAGCACACATCACTAGTGTGGTCAGCACACATCTCTAGCGTGGTCAGCACACATCTCTAGTGTGGTCAGCACACATCACTAGTGTGGTCAGCACACATCTCTAGTGTGGTCAGCACACATCTCTCATGTGGTCAGCACACATCTCTAGTGTGGTCAGCACACATCTCTAGTGTGGTCAGCACACATCTCTAGTGTGGTCAGCACACATCTCTAGTGTGGTCAGCACACATCACTAGTGTGGTCAGCACACATCACTAGTGTGGTCAGCACACATCACTAGTGTGGTCAGCACACATCTCTAGTGTGGTCAGCACACATCTCTAGTGTGGTCAGCACACATCTCTCATTTGGTCAGCACACATCTCTCATGTGGTCAGCATACATCTAGTGTGGTCAGCACACATCTCTAGTGTGGTCAGCACACATCTCTAATGTGGTCAGCACACATCTCTAGTGTGGTCAGCACACATCTCTAGTGTGGTCAGCACACATCACTAGTGTGGTCAGCACACATCTCTAGTGTGGTCAGCACACATCTCTAGTGTGGTCAGCACACATCTCTAGTGTGGTCAACACACATCTCTAGTGTGGTCAGCACACATCTCTAGTGTGGTCAGCACACATCTCTAGTGTGGTCAGCACACATCTCTAGTGTGGTCAGCACACATCACTAGTGTGGTCAGCACACATCACTAGTGTAGTCAGCACACATCACTAGTGTGGTCAGCACACATCACTATTGTGGTCAGCACACATCTCTAGTGTGGTCAGCACACATCTCTCATGTGGTCAGCACACATCACTAGTGTGGTCAGCTCACATCTCTAGTGTGGTCAGCACACATCTCTAGTGTGGTCAGCACACATCTCTAGTGTGGTCAGCACACATCACTAGTGTGGTCAACACACATCACTAGTGTGGTCAGCACACATCTCTCATGTGGTCAGCATACATCTTTAGTGTGGTCAGCACACATCACCAGTGTGGTCAGCACACATCTCTAGTGTGGTCAGTACACATCTCTAGTGTGGTCAGCACATATCTCTCGTGTGGTCAGCACACATCTCTAGTGTGGTCAGCACACATCTCTAGTGTGGTCAGCACACATCTCTAGTGTGGTCAGCACACATCTCTAGTGTGGTCAGCACACATCTCTAGTGTGGTCAGCACACATCACTAGTGTGGTCAGCACACATCTCTAGTGTGGTCAGCACACATCTCTAGTGTGGTCAGCACACATCACTAGTGTGGTCAGCACACATCTCTAGTGTGGTCAGCACACATCTCTAGTGTGGTCAGCACACATCACTAGACCGGTCAGCACACATCTCTAGTGTGGTCAGCACACATCTCTAGTGTGGTCAGCACACATCTCTAGTGTGGTCAGCACACATCTCTAGTGTGGTCAGCACACATCTCTAGTGTGGTCAGCACACATCTCTCATTTGGTCAGCACACATCTCTAGTGTGGTCAGCACACATCTCTAGTGTGGTCAGCACACATCTCTAGTGTGGTCAGCACACATCTGTAGTGTGGTCAGCACACATCTCTAGTGTGGTCAGCACACATCTCTCATTTGGTCAGCACACATCACTAGTGTGGTCAGCACACATCACTAGTGTGGTCAGCACACATCTCTAGTGTGGTCAGCATACATCTCTAGTGTGGTCAGCACACATCTCTAGTGTGGTCAGCACACATCTCTAGTGTGGTCAGCACACATCTCTAGTGTGGTCAGCACACATCTCTAGTGTGGTCAGCACACATCTCTAGTGTGGTCAGCACACATCTCTAGTGTGGTCAGCACACATCTCTAGTGTGGTCAGCACACATCACTAGTGTGGTCAGCACACATCTGTAGTGTGGTCAGCACACATCAATAGTGTGGTCAGCACACATCTCTCATGTGGTCAGCACACATCTCTAGTGTGGTCAGCACACATCTCTAGTGTGGTCAGCACACATCTCTCATTTGGTCAGCACACATCTCTCATGTGGTCAGCACACATCTCTAGTGTGGTCAGCACACATCACTAGTGTGGTCAGCACACATCTATTGTGTGGTCAGCACACATCTCTAGTGTGGTCAGCACACATCTCTAGTGTGGTCAGCACACATCTATAGTGTGGTCAGCACACATCTCTAGTGTGGTCAGCACACATTTCTCATGTGGTCAGCACACATCTCTAGTGTGGTCAGCACACATCTCTCGTGTGGTCAGCACACATCTCTAGTGTGGTCAGCACACATCTCTAGTGTGGTCAGCACACATCTCTCGTGTGGTCAGCACACATCTCTAGTGTGGTCAGCACACATCTCTAGTGTGGTCAGCACACATCTCTCATGTGGTCAGCACACATCACTAGTGTGGTCAGCACACATCTCTCGTGTGGTCAGCACACATCTCTCGTGTGGTCAGCACACATCTCTAGTGTGGTCAGCACACATCTCTAGTGTGGTCAGCACACATCTGTAGTGTGGTCAGCACACATCACTAGTGTGGTCAGCACACGTCTCTCATGTGGTCAGCACACATCTCTAGTGTGGTCAGCACACATCTCTAGTGTGGTCAGCACACATCTCTCGTGTGGTCAGCACACATCTCTAGTGTGGTCAGCACACATCTCTAGTGTGGTCAGCACACATCTCTAGTGTGGTCAGCACACATCACTAGTGTGGTCAGCACACATCTCTTGTGTGGTCAGCACACATCACTAGTGTGGTCAGCACACATCTCTAGTGTGGTCAGCACACATCACTAGTGTGGTCAGCACACATCTCTAGTGTGGTCAGCACACATCACTCGTGTGGTCAGCACACATCTCTCATGTGGTCAGCACACATCTCTAGTGTGGTCAGCACACATCTCTCATGTGGTCAGCACACATCTCTCGTGTGGTCAGCACACATCTCTCATGTGGTCAGCATACATTTTTACACTGGGTGGACTCACTGATGTTCTATGGACTCTATGACAAGAACTACCCTTAGGACTTGTGGGAAAATTAGTAACTGTTTTATATAAAAAATTAAAGTATATGTATCAAAAGTTTTAGTAATTTAACCCTATATTGCATACTGGTGTCATATGGCAACATAGCAATTATTTACTAGTCTTAACAAACAAGGTGCTGTACTCTTTGCCACACTCAAGTTTGATTGAAGAATTTATAATCTATAGTTCCCAGTCTCTGTTTTGATCAGCCCATGATTAAATTATAAAATAGTTAAAAAGAACTGTTGTCCTATGAAATTGGTTTTCAGTCGTTTTGTTTCAGGGCATTTTAACCCTTTGTGAACTGAAAAAACAACAACAAACAAACCTGTTTGAACTATAACGAGACTAGCTTATGGTATAGACTTTATTGGACCTTCTTGACAGTAAATAGTTTAAACTTGGTTCATGTTTTTAACTTTGTGTTTTGGTTATGCTGTTTGTTTTATTAACATTTTGTTAAATTATTTGATCTTCATTTCTTGTTTTTTTTTTGTCTTAGGGCTAAAGCTACTAATACTTAAATATTATTATTTACCCTATGTTATCCTTTGGATAATGGTCTTGTACATTCTGCACTAGACCAAGGACCTATTTATGTATCAGAACCCTCTCCATCCTGCAACCAATCTTACCTCCCCTGTGTCACACACCCATCCCAGGGTTCGTACGCAGTCTGGAAAGTCTGGAAAAAGTCTTGAATTTAGAAAAGTGAATTTAAGACTTAAAAAAGTCTGGAAAATTGCTAGTTTTTGGGCTGGATTTTTTAAAAGTCTGGAAAAAGTCTGGAATCCAGTTTTAGAAACAAAACTTCGAAGTCCATATTTTCCAAGTTAAAAAATTGCTATTTTTAGGTGAAATTACTCCAATTTTTTTCCCCGCGCTTTTGTTGTGACTTTTTTCGCTGGTTCGCAGAAAAAAAACGGATGCTCAGTTACTACGTCATTGGAAGAGGAGGGGAAGGGAGGGAAGAGATATTTTGTGTTGCGACTGACCGTGTGAATGTGTTACAAGTATTTAAAATTGTCATTTAAATTTAATGAAAGAATGATCGCCTTCAGAATTGTTAGGCTCTCGATTTTACCCGCTATTTTTCATTGTTTAAGTTTGCACGCAGACAGTCATAACAAAAAAATTATGTGGGAGGTGTATGAATGGTAGTTTAGATATAATTTATTTGTCTCTGAGGGTCATCCGTTTATGACATCCAAAGAAATTTCGGATTTTAACCCCCCCCCCTTCCACACGCGTTCACTTACTTTGGGTTAATATTAACATTTATAAGATTAATAAGTCGCGAGGCCTCCTTGGGTTCACACCCGTATTTCTGTTTGCTTCAGCCGTCGCTTACCAAAGAGGTACTAATTTTATTTAGGAGTCGTCCATAAATGACGTCACACTCGGAAAAGTCGGAAGGAGGGTTTCAGAAAGTTTGACGACACGCTCTTGCAATAATGTTAGGGTAGATATAAATACCATGTTTTCTTTACACGCTGGGATGGTTTTTAAAACACAAGCATAGATTTCAATGCTGACGATTAAAGCTAGACTACCCCGCCCCTTCTTGTAACTACGGTCACTTGTGTGAACTCACCATGACCCCAAGTTTGTAGTTGGTACTGCTGGGTAAGGAGGGTGGGGGGTATAAGTAACATCTCAGTTCATGTTATGACGTATTAAACAGGCATACTGAAGCCTAGACTACTATGACCTCACAATGACCCCTTCACCGTGTCTTGTGGGGGGGGGGGGGGGAGGAGGATACCGGCATTTTTTTTTTATTGCAGACCCGTTTCTCAGCTATAAGTAGTATAAGTGTATAAGCATAAACAGTGAGTGATGTGGTTACAACCTGCAGAATGTTTTTTTTTTTGCTCCAATTTTTTTCTTTACAAGTAGCCTATATTAGGCTACTTAACAAGAGCAGACCTAAATTAATACATTACGTTAGTATTCTTTAAAGTAATTAACTCTCACTATTATGCAATACCATTTTAATAATAGTTTAATTGAAAACATAAGCATTTTGATCATGAACAGATTACATAAGTCTAATGTTTAAAACAAAATAGCTGCACCATTTTAATCAATTATTTTAATTGTTAAAACTTTAGGTGGAGTTGAGTAGGCAAACTTAGAAAAGTAATTTTCTGTCAATTTGGCTAAAGAAAGTTCAATATAAATATATCTCAACTGCCTAAAATAAATGTCAATTTAGTACAAGTAATTATGAGAGTACAAATGGTGCATCATTTTATAAATTATTCGCGAACACATTATCTGTATAATGTCTGGAATTTTTCCAAAAAAGTCTGGAAAATGTCTGGAAAAAGTCTGGAATTTCATTTTGAAAAAGTAGTACGAACCCTGCCATCCGCCACTGTCCCATTTATGATTTAGTACTATAGTAGTAAGTTGAATGCTGTATTTTAATTACCAATACAAGTTAAAAAGGATTTAATATTAACTTCCCTTCATTAATTTCATCAGTATGAAAAGTGTGCGCTAGGACTATCATTTTGTTTTTTGTTTATGTTCTTAAGTTATTTAGTATTCATTTAAAGAAATTGTTTACATCACAGAACTTGAGCAACCAGTTCCACTAGACGCATCCACCTACCTAAAGTACATCAGTCTGGTTCTGCTGACCGTACAAAATGCTTTGCTCATCCTTGTCATGCGCTACGTGCGCACGCGTGAGGGGGAGATGTTTCTATCCAGCAGTGCAGTCATTATGGCGGAGATCTTTAAGTTCACAACCTCGCTTGTTGTTATTCTCATTCAGGTAAAAAAATTCACTTAAAAATATGAGTTCTATTTATTCATTGTGAACATTAACCTTGTATGGCATAGTATTAAATCATATTAATTTAAATGCTGCTTTTCAGGTAATTTTTTAACTTATATATATATATGTAATAGTACATAATTTGCTATTATATTTTTAAATAGATGGGAATTATAATTTGTAATTTTAAAGCATTCTTGTTAAGTTTTTGATATCAATCAAATCACTGGTTCTTCACCAACAACTTTTTGTTTCATCAGACTGGGGGTACACAAGCATGGCTGAAGTTGCTTTATGAAGATATTATCTTAGAGCCAATAGATTGTCTCAAAGTGTCTATACCATCTATCATCTTTGTTCTACAAAACAATTTGGTCTATGTTGCCATCTCTAATTTGGATGCAGCCACGTTTCAGGTACTTAATTGTTCTAACAAACCAATGTACAGCTTAAAGTTAACATGCCGGCTTTTTAACACTCCAAAATGTAAGTCTTTTTTATTTCTTGTACTTTATTATAAACGATTAACTTTTTCTTCTACAGGTGTCTTATCAACTGAAAATTCTGACCACCGCCATTTTCTCAGTTCTAATGTTAAAAAAAGTGCTGAGTAAATTACAGTGGGCCTCACTGGTCATTCTCTTTGTGGGCGTGGCCATTGTCCAGATGCAGCCGGAGAACAGCAAGAAAACAGCAACAGCCACAGAACAAAGTCAAATCGAAGGACTCATCGCTGTCGTTATCTCGTCTTTCATGTCCGGGTTCGCTAGTGTTTACTTCGAGAAAATTCTCAAAGGATCTCGACAATCTGTTTGGATACGTAACGTTCAACTGGGAGTGTTAGGGTCTATTATGGGCGCCATCACCATGTTTGTTAATGACGGCGAAAAGTTGCTGGAGAATGGATTTTTTCATGGCTACGATTACGTAGTCTGGTTTGTTGTATGTTTACAATCCTTAGGGGGACTTTTAATTGCTGTTGTGGTCAAGTATGCTGATAACATCCTTAAAGTCTTCGCCACTTCTGGCGCCATTATATGCTCATGTGTGGCTTCTATATATTTCTTTGAATTCCGGCTGTCTCTGGAGTTTACAGTGGGGGCGTGTCTTGTTATAGCAGCTGTGTTTATCTATAGTAAATTTATTCCTAGCAGGGCTCAGGTACTGCCTACAGCGAGCAGTGTAGATGGATCCAGTGGAGGCTGAACAGTCAGAGGTTTTCACATTTTCTTGTATAAACTTGGTAGATTCACTTCTTTTTAACTTGCTTGCTTGTTAAGTGAAGAAAGTCAAACAAAACTTAGCCTAAATCTTACTGGTCTGTTTATACGGTTCTTTTTTGTGTGTTAATTGTTTTAGGAATGTTCATGTTAGCTAGGTGTGATGTAAATTTGAACTGATTTTTGGGTGAAAATTAGAACTTTTAAACAACCTTCGTGGCATAACTCTTCATTCTTGTATGAAATTATATTTGAATAAATAGCATTATTGATAAATAGCTGCTATATTTTTATACAGATATAAACATTATTTGTCTATTGCATAACTTAAAGACGACATTTAGCCAACTCTCCTTATGTTTTTATTGTTTAACACTGCATAGTTCAAATAAACTAAACACAATAGAAGCCACATACTGAACTACTATAATTAATATTTAATGTTTTTTTTTATATTTTTAAATTAATGTAATCAAGTTGTTTGATGTAGCTGTGCAATGTTTTATATCTAACCAGAGAAGTTTCTACTGATTCTGGAATTTTAAAGTTTCTGCATGATTTATAATTACAAATTTGTGGGTTTTTTACATGTGCCACATATTGTAAAGATGTTCTATTTATATAGACTGCATGAGAGTGTGTTTATCAGGGGGATTATGTGATCAGACATTTTATTTTGTAGAGGAAGTAAAGATCCTGTTAAGGTCAAGATAAGCCCATAGTGCCTTAACATAGAATTGGCATGCTATTTAAAGTCATCCACCCATTCTCTCTTATCCTTAAACTGTCCAATAAAGTTCAGTTTTTACTGTGTGAGACAGAAGCACATGTCCCAACCATCACCATGCTGTAAAATCTAGGATAAATGTAGGCCTAACTTCCATAGACTCTAATGCAGATCTTATACTTAGCATACATTAGATGTCGTCATATCATTCATCGTTTAACTCTAGATAACTAGATATAGTTGTTTTTGGAAAAGAATCTTGTACTTACTGAAGTTAGGTTAAGGTAGCTTTTAATGATTTGATATTGATGTTGAAATAATTTTTTTATATCACAATTTCTATCACACAAAAAATACATTTTGGCAGGTCTTCAAATGAATCATATATCTCCCCAGATACCAAAACCTCACCCCCTTGAGGGGATACAGGGATACCCATTCTAGTTTGCGAACCCACTGGTCTTGATGCTCAGTAATTAACATTTTTTTTCATCAATTTTAAAACCAATATTGAATTAAATTAAATGTTTAGTATCTTTAAAACAAATAACTAAACTTATGGTACAAAACACAGTTGTTTTATCTGTTTTTGTTCACAAGGTACATGTAGAAATAATGTATTCATCATGTTGAAAAAAGTTGCTCTGTGAATAATATTGAATGACAAGGCCTGTAACTTTGTAATGTTGAAGCCACTGCTTGTTTTCACAATCAAATATTAAGGCTGTGAAAGAGATTATGTGAGACTTTTTAAAAATGTGGGTTTTTTTTTTTACATTATTTTTTTATGCTGTTTAAAATCTGGTGCGTATGTATAAAACATGTTTGATTTTTAGAAACATTTATTGCCAGAAAGATAATTAAACCATGTCATCATGTAAAAAGAATAAATATTGCTATTATCATATATTGGGATCCCTTCAAAAAAATATTTCTTGAAAACATCATAATTAGTAGGATTGTGTTTTAAAAATATCTTTTTTGTAAAATTATATTACATGATATAGGGTAATAAATCATTGAAAGTGGTTAGTAACGGAGTCTAGTGAAATGAGTTGTGATTGTTAAATTTTGGACAGATGAAGTAGAGTTAATATTTGTGTAATCTCTGCATTTAATGGTATAGTGTGGTCAGTACTAGAACCAGCCATATTTACTTTCCCTAACCATAGGCAACCCTCAGAGTTGAGTGTTTTGAGGGACATCAGACAGTCTGGGATGCAAACATAACCATCCCATTAATATCACTCTTAAATATTGCATGTAAACTGCATTTCACTAAAAACATGCAACTTAATGTTAAATAAACATGTTCTTAAAAAGAATATACTGGGATGTTAGAACTAAGCACACAATGAGTAATTATATTATTTACAAAGCAAAACCAGTGATAAAATTTAAACATTTTATCCTGCTTTTTAAATGTATTGCATTTAAAAAGAAATTCTTTTTTTCTAATGACCTTCCTAATTTTCTTCTACTCAGAAAAGCCATACATTAATACACACACTCTTTAGAATGAAAAATAAGGTACCATTATACTTGAATCAACTGCAAAATTTTCTACTTTATTCTGTAAGCATAGTATTGATTATCAAAAAGCACAATGTATTACTTACAAAAAAAGTTCTTTGTGTTTTTTTTTTCAAATAAGATCTGATGTTGAATTATCTTTTATTTATTTTATTCAGGTTCTCAAATCAAAAGAATTATTAAAAAGGAAAAATTCTGCCAATTTTCTTATTTTCAGTGCTGTTATAATAGAGATTTTAGAACTTACTGTAACTATAGCTTTTATTTTAACAGTTTTATGTATGATTTATAATTTAACTCCAACCATCAACACATCTTGAAAATAGGGACAAATGCATCTTTGTTGTGATTTCTGAATCTGACAGTTTAGGGTAGAGACAAAGGCAAAACAGGATAGCTATCTACTTAGTGTTGAAATAATGTTCAAAATGCTGTTTTTTAAAAATCAGCTTTACTTTTTCTGTTTTTCAGGACACCCTGAGCAATAATAAATTCTGCTTAATTCAATTATAATGTTGATCAAAGAATTTGGAAATAAAAAGGGACCTAACTATATAATTTGAACAAGAACTAAAAAGGATTTTAGGATGTTGAACAGCAAAAAAAGAATGATGAAATTTAAAGGGATGCAACTCATATATTCCATTGTAAGTCAACAGAATACCTTTGTAATACCAATAATTATTGTAAATAAGCTTTGATGTAATCTTACAAAGTTCATGAACCAGTGAGAAAGAAAACAAGTTTAACTAATTATTAGTTTATTTGGAAATGATATAGGTTTATAACTATAGTGGGGAAAACAAAGATTTTAGTTGAAGAATAACATTTTTAAGTAGAACTGAAGTCTGATACAATCTTGAGATAACCCGATTGTTAATGGACTCTTAAACAGCTTGAATCAAGTTTAAAATTATATCAACTAAGTGTGTAACTCTATAAAAAGAGAAGAAAAAACTTTATTAATATAAAAATCAACTTTTAATGAACAAGAAACAATTAAGTTATTTACTATAAAATATTTCTTTTTACACTCCTAAAATTATTAAAATTTAAACTTAATTGTGACATTATTTACTTTCTTAATAAACAAATGCCCTCTAAACAAGACAAAGAACACTTCTAGGGTACACAGAGATTTGTTGTGTCCAACTTTAACTTCTCAAACTAAGGAGTTCTGTAATATATATATATATATATTACAAAGCTTTTTCTTTTAATATAAAAGAAATTTACAATTACAACTAAACATCTTTTCAGTTATATAAAATAATTTTCTGTTTTCAAATAAGGAAGTAATTTATAAATGCTTTAATAACAAAGTCTAATTCACTTTCTCACAAACAGAGGCATACTTAATTCTAAAACATTTCTTCAAACTGCAACAAATAAAACTAAAATTTATTTCTCCCTAAGGATTAACAATTCTACACCAACAAAAATAAAATGGAAAATTGACATCTTCTATATATTGTGTTCAGCCATACAACAAAAATACATTAAGCAAATTAAAGTATGCCTACGACTTTACTTGCTATTTCAAATGCATTGAAACCACATTGTTGTGCTTTGATTTTATAAACACTTGTACCAGTAAAATTTTGTAGTGATTGCAAACATAGCTACTGGGAGTGTACGCGCCAAAATGATTGCAATAAAACATCCTTAAATGAGAATTGAGTTTTGAAACACCAAAACAAGCCAATTTTCTTCCTGGTTTCATATAATTTAACTACAGTTAGAACTAGATTGACAACTATCACGACTCTGGGTTACTACTACCTGCATCTGTGCTCATTTCTGATGATTCCTCAATGCCTTTAATCTGTGACAGGCCCAGGTCCTCTTGTGCTCCAGACAACTGCCTGAGTTCGTCTGGCTCAATGGAAGCTTTGGCTGGAGGATACAGCTGGGGATACTGGCTCATGCAGTCCTGCATGGTTAGGAATGCGTCGTAACAATCAGAACCCTTGGGCTCGGCTTTACTGTAGTGGAAACAGGAGAACGCTTCACGAAACTCTACACCACATGGACCACTAGCCATGCCACCTAGGCAAGGACACTCCCAGTTGATGTCACCATTTGGGAGAATTAGACCTGAAAGAAATTAATATAACAAATTGTCAACATTTTAGAACACAGATGAGTTTATTGAAATGTTACAGCATGATACAAAAAAAATAATTAATTTAGCTTTAAAAGAAATGTATATGCTCTGAAATTTTAGAATTAATTACTAAATATACAAGAGACTAGGCTTTTTGTTTTATAAAAAACATTCTATGCCACATGTACATTGAGTGCTTTCATGACTCTAAAGTCTAATTAAAAGTTAAACAATTTTTCTTCTTGTAGTTTGTAAGGGATTCCCTACAACACAAGTATTATGTATCAACTTATTATGTGCAATATAGGCCATTAGCTCAGATTTCAGCCTGCTTTTCTTTATAGATTTACTTCTATAGCCTTTGTCCAACATAGAACAAACTACAAGGCAGCAGTTGTTTGATTTTGGAAGTTGTATCTTCTAGATGAGTTGCTGTCCCCAGCTATCAAGAGTTGAGCCTCATCTACTCAGGGGTTCAAACCTCTAAAACTTTGGTTTAGCAACCATGGGTTTAACGACCCAAACATGCCAACCTCTTTAACCCTTAAAGCGCGCGCCACATGGCCGTACGTGTTGTAAGTTATGCAACAGCAAAGCCACGATCGTGGCTTGGCGCGCTTTCAGGGTTAACCTTTTCAAATCACTATTCAGAAGGTCTATCAACCTTACAAAAAATACAGAAAATTCCTGGAATTACTGACGTCAATTTAAACCTTACTCAAGACATCAAGTCTAGCTATTAGCTACTCAGCAAGTACCTCTAAAAAAACAATCAACTTCACATTTCTAACCTGGTTGATGATCTGCTTCATCTTCTTCCAAGTTGATAATTGCATTACTTGGTTCATCTAGGTCTTCTTTGGTGGCAAAAATTACCTGGTCTTTCCCTGAAAATAAACAAGATGCATGTTGGCTTGCTGAAACATAAAAACATGGGTACATTCTGGTTAAAAGAACGGAGTGGTTTAGCGATAGAGAGCTGGGCTGCTAACCCTATAAACCGCCAGGTTTGAAAAGGGAACTTTTTTTTTTACATTCTAGTTAAAAGCAAAATTGTCAGAATGTTGTGATTCTTTACACTTAAGAGATTTTGCAGAATAATTTATACCTTTATTTTGTAAAACTTATCAGTCTGAGAAAGATCAAGGGTTAAGTTAGGTTAGGTTTATAATCTGTAATAATTAGTGTAGTAACGATTCAGTAGCATCACAAGAAGGGGGTGCATTACACACCGGGTGACACCAAATTGAGAAAATTTTTAAAAATTCAGAAAATGTACAAACGAAACAATGTTTGATTCTGTACAAATAATAAAAAAAGTAGGGGAAAGGGTTGATGCTGAATATGATGCCAAAAACCAAAATAAAAAAAAATGTTCGGGAAGTGGGATGACACCCTACCTAGTGACACAGCTTAGAATAAAGTATAGGCCTAGGTTGATGTGTTTTGCAAAGCCAATTTTGTGTACCAAGTCATAGGAGTAGTTGCAGCCATTGGGTTAAAACTTACAAAAAGAAAGGAAGATTTTAATTTCTACTTGAGGGTGGCTCATAAAGTTTGTCACGCTTTTGTTTGACAATTTCCACCCCCCCCCCCATCACAAACAACCCGATTCGGATGATTATAGATACCGGCGTCCGATAATAGAATCTTCTTTAAAAAAGGGGTGTTGGGTTTTTAGTAGTATTGTAATCTCGACCTATTTTATGTTTAGAGATTAGGGTTAGGCGTATGGTAGGACCAGGGTTGGGGTTATGGACAGGGTTAGCATTGAATTTAGCCAGCCATGATGCCATGTGTGTATTAGTATTTAGTTAACTTAAGTTAACTACCAGTAACCTAACACCCCTAATTTAAAGAAGATTCCATTATCGGACACGGGTGTAAACATTCTCCCCCAGATTCCCCACCCAAATCGGATGTCACACCTCAGCATTCTTATCTCCTCACACAAAATTCCGAACCTCCCCCCCCCCCCTAGGAGTGTAGTGTTAGGCCTAAGTGTTTAAGTCACTTAGACTTTAGTAGGCGGTAAGTGAAGTTTAGTTAGAAATCACTTCTAGCTACTTTCAGAACTAGATTCTAGAATTTATTAAAAGAGCCTTGTCAGAAGTGTGACTGTGAGTTCTTCAACTTCAATTTCTGATGATTTCACAGCAAAGGTCACGCAATTTCTCAAGAACAAATATTCCCTTTATCTCTTTTAATTAATTATTAAAGGAACAGCAAATATAACTATTGGCTTACCATCTTCCATACAATATGACATTTTTATTTTTTAAATTTGACTATTCCCTATTTGAGAACGTAAAAAGGTCACAAACACTTTTACAGAGAAAGCATGACAACAGCCTTTTGTTGTCTTGTTTCGTTTTCGGGTTCCCGTTCAACCGGAAGAAACAAATATAATTAGATCTATATATAGAATAAAACGATCGGCGGAAGTAGGAAGTTGTGTTCTGTAGTTACCGGTGCCACGTTCGAGAGGTACGCTGAAGAAAACATTCCGTACTCAGTTTACCAATTCCAATATTTTTTTATTTATTTATAAGGACTATCTACATTTCGTTTTTATTGGTTGAACATAACCGGTATGTTTAGATTAAAAGATTGGTTAATATTATATTTCACAGTTTAAACGACAAGTCACAATGTTAAATTTTGGAGTAAAGTAAAACAAAAAATTCAAAAACAAACAAACTAGACTTAAAATTTCACATATGCAGGTCAAAGATAGAATTTTAATACTTTTACAATAATGGTATTGGTAGATCTAATAATAATACAGTAATGAGTAATTAGAATCTAGATAGATCTAGATTTCTAGTTCTACTATTACAATTCGTCAATTAGGGGCCTAGGGCCTATAATAATAACAGGCCTATTTCACCTTGGGCATTGGCCTCATAACATAACTAATTCAACTCCTTATTTATAGGCCCTATAAGGTGGTGGTTATCTAATATCTAATAATATCTATGGCATGGTACTGACTTTAGATTCTTGTTAGTAGTACTAGTAGACCTAGTACTTAAGTAGTACTCGTTCTGGACCTGGTAGGGTTGATAATGAGGTAGCCTCTAAGACTCTAAACTCTAAGCCTAGGTCCTATATTATTTATTAATTTATAATTAGTGTTAAAGTTCCTAAATATTTAGGCTTACGTCTAATAATAGACTAACATGAGTTAAATTTAATAATTTTGTTTAGGCCCAGTAGTAATAGTATTGGCCTACTGTAACTATAGACTAAATTAAATATAGAGGTTTAGTTACTTATTTAGTAGGCCTAACATGGCAAATATTTTGTTAGCCTAAATAATTAATGTACCTAGGCCTATTCCTAGCGAGATTTAAAATTTTTATTTTTTACTCCATGACACAGAAAATAAGTTTTCTAATTAGCCTACAAAAGAATATATCTTCCACACATGTATTGAAATTATAATGATGACTTTGCAATAATATTATCACTATTTTGTTCATCCCAGGGAATAACCCCCTTCACAAAATGGACAAAGTGGAAATTGCAAAAAACATGATTTAGCATGTTATTGTTAAGGCTATGTTTAGGGATAAAAAAGAGAATTACAAGTTTAAAGCTGAGATAAAATTCAGTCTAACTGAGCTACTAATCACTTCAAAAAAATTTCTCACACCTTTTCTTTCTCCTTTTTGCTATTCCTTCTTTTTAAAAGTGAACAACATTCTAATAGTTAACATAATTTCATATATTTCTCTTGACAGGTTTAGTAAATATAACAAATAATGTCATGTCAATGGAACATAAGCTTCCGTTAGTCGATATAAACAGAGCAGACGATATATACAGAACAGGGGAAACATTATCCGAGTCAGGGTCCCCAGACAGTGAAATGATCAGAAAAGGTGGCCAAGAGGATTTGGGTATGTAGTGTCCCAAATAACTTATTGACATCCATTTTTAAAATGTTTTATTTGTGCACTTAAGATTAAAAAGTAGTATTGCTCATTTTTGATAATTTTTAGCAGTTTTTTTTAAAAAAAAAAAAGGACTGTATTTTGCTATGACTAGATGAAGCATAAGTGGGTTTTGTAGGTTGTTGTGCTTCACTCCTTAAGTTTGAAGTGTTGGTCAAACCATGCTTTGAAGTCGGTTCATCTGGTGCCATTTTTCCTATTCTTATCTGCATTAGTTTGTTTGGCAATGAAGGCACAAATACTGCAGACTTAAAATCAATCTTTGATATACACAAATGTAACTCAAATTTTAAGTATGCTTAAAAAGCTAACTGTTTTATAGATGTGTGCTATAATTTTGTATAATATGTAAAAATATTTTAACCTAATACTTTTTTAGCTGGTTGTTTCAACCACTGCTTAAGCATAAGCTATTTAAAAAAAAAAAAACTTCCCAGAAACAAACATTCTGACAGATAACCTTGGTGAGAAAAAATGCTAAATGTTAATAACTTGAAGTGAAGTGGGTATTACATTAAATGCAGTTCTTTTTTCAAAACATGGTGTTGTAAATATTCTTTAATTTAATATGCTTTGTGATATAAACATTCTTCAGCCATATTATTTTTCTATTTTTCATTATTCAATATGTTATTATGCTTCATTGTGCTCATTTTATTATATTTTTTTGTCTCATTCTTAAAGTGAATAGAAAGGGTAATGTATAGCAACACATAAAAAATAACAAATACAAAAAAATCTGTCCATAATATTTTTGCATTGCAAGAGGATGAATCCAAAATGTGTCTTGTTTAAAAACAAGTATGGCAGTGTTCTTAATTTTAACAATATTACTGATCCTACAGCTTTATACAAGATTTTCATGCTCTGATTGGTAGTCTATCCCACAGCCTGAGATTATATTATTCATATTCTAATCTTTAAATCTAAATCCTTTCGTGCACCTTTTACCCTCCAGGTAATCTTGCATCATTATCTTTTTCCATCTAGTTATAACCAGCTGAAGGCTCAATAGACAATAATGGGCCATAGTACTCTCTGAATAAACAGCCTTCTTGCAATGCACTTGTATGTTGATCAATAGTACATCCATCCATTTTGTTTTCTCTGTTAATTTACGTATACCTAGATCAAATCATTTCTCTTTAGCCTACTTTGTCTGATGTATATAAGTTCTACCTGGTTAAATAACAGTTAGTTGTTAATCACAGCAAAGCCCTCTTGATATAGGTATTTCATTTAAGATGCTTTATTTAAACCTAATTCCACTATTGTTTTAATTTTCATCTTATTTGACATCTTTTCGTATGAGCTTCTAAGGTGTGATATTTGGAGTGTAAATATTAAATTTAGTTTAAATGAGAAATATGCTTACATATACCCTGCCCCAAATCCTCCGTCAACCCTCCCCAAAGAAAAAAACAAAAAAACATTGAGTTTCAAAAGTGTGATATTAGTTTAGGTGCGTAAATATTTTATTTAGTTAAAAGGACTAATACGCTTACACACACCCTGCCCCAAATTCCCCCTCCACCTCTCCCCAAAAGAAAATTAAAAAAAACAACAACAAACACTATACTTTTGAGTGACGCAAAGAAGTAATTGATTATCTATAATTCCCATCTCAGCATCCGTCAATTAATCAACATATCTGCACCTGGGGACCACTTCACACCACTCCAACACCCTTCTCTCCTTCATGGCTGATTGAAATAATTTGTTCCTGAGAGTTACTGTTCATGAATTTCATGATTTTGTTATAAAGGGGATGGATGATTGGTTTAATAAATGTTGATGATAAATATAATCAGTTCTTTTTGCTTAGTTTTGTTTAGTCATTTAAAAACTAAACTATGAATTTCAGCTGAAACATGTTTAGAAAAGAAATTCAAACAGGCTGAATATTTAAGCTATTGATAGAACTCTCTTATCAAAGGACATAAAATTAATTCAAATTGTCTTTTAAACTTTCAAAATTCTGGCAACCCAATACCTTGCCAGCTTGACAAACACACAATTTATTTCCTCTGTATTACTATGTGCTATGTTGATGCTTATAACCATACATTTTAAAAACTGATTTTGTTTTTCACTGCTTCAACAGCTATATATGACCACAGTAAGTGGAATGTCTGCACTATTTTTATTCCAGTGTAGTGTTGTTTTGTTTTGCTAGATGCACCTTCAACAGCTTTTGATTAATTTTCTTGTGTTTTTGTTTTAAATACTTTATTACTGCATTATCAGTTGTTCTGCTGTATAATTTGATTTAATTGTTTCTGTTTTGTTTCATCTAAAAACTGTAAATTAATTATAACAGCACCTGTTAATGATGTCATATTTAAAGATGGGCAGTGATCAGCTGTCTTTTGACATTGTCTAGCAAGATGGGGGTAAATTGAGGCAATCTTTATGGGAACACTCAAATGAAAACATAAAAGTTTACAAATTGACACTCTTGTATTAAAATACAATATCATTCATACACCAAAACTACTAAACATGAAATATTGTTGAGTAATTAAGCCATTCCCCATTGTTTGCCTTAATAATTCTTGAACAAGAGAGAGCTATCTCTTAGTGGGTGATAAAGGCAGACACTTTGTTTAAATAAAATGTGCACATCATTTGTGGGAACTGTCTTACAGTTTAAAAAAACTAACTTAGTGCATCATATCCAAATATAAATGTTATGATTGATTATTTTTACTTTTAGTCAAATTTTTTGGTTTTAAAATAATTTATCTTTGGCTCTAGTTTATCTAGTGGCAAGGTCTACTTGATTTATTTTCCTGTAGAAAAGATTTCCTTGAGTTTCATTTCAATAAGATTTGAAAGTTTACAAATGATCATATGTAAGCCTACATCAGATGAGTTGCTTGACACCTTGAGATATTTTGATCTGGAGCTGTAGTTTAAAGAAGGAGATCTATGGTTTAAATGTTAGGGTTTATTAGTTACTTCCAGTTTAAAAAAAAATTGTAACTGAAAATTTTTTTTTTTTAAATCTAATGATGTTCAAACGAAAATTCAAAATTTATTAGAATCACATTTCAAGTAGTTTATAGTAAAATGTTTATTTCTGAGAGAATTTTAGAGTGTATTTCACCATTGAAATTGATGTTACAAAATGCTTTTACTTCTTTCTTCAACCTTTAAAATATAGTCATAGGTGTTAAACAGCTTAACTGGAAGGTCACATTGTATTAGTTGTTGTTTGGATGTTATTGATTATTTGTTTAACAATTTAAAATCAAAATTGTTTGTCTGTAAACAAGTATTGAACAAGTATATGTTGATGTTTGTATTGTTTAAAATCAGTTAAACTTTCCAATTTTGCTAACCAAGCAAAGCTAATCAACTTTTTAGCTATTAACTTTAAATTGGTAGTTATAAAAAAATATCTCTTAATTAAAAATAAAAGATTTCTTGAAATAATTAAAAAGGGCTTTGATTAGCTTATATTAGATTTATATTAACTAAATAGACTTTAATTCAATTTTTTCTACTTCATTGTAGTGAAATAAGTTGTGAGAATAAAACAAGAATAAAATATCTGTAGCATGCTTATGTAAATTCTGTATATAAATAAACATTTCAAATGATTTTTGCTCTGAATTTTAAAAAAAAATTAGTTGTTAGTAAGTATAATAAAGACAGGATATGTTTGAGGCTGATTTTTTTTTTGCTTGTATTATGATGCTAGAACTAATCCTAAATCCTAACAGCAATACCGGCAGAAAAAACTTCTGATATCAAACTGTATTGTCCTGTCAATGATTTTATAAATACTCAATCAATATTCAGTCACTTAAATAATTCATCAGGTTCACATTTTCGTGTTGTTTGTCTAAATTCTGAAACTATTAATTTGTGTACATTTCAGAGCCCAAGCAACCAGCTCCACAGAAAACACCAGCAAGCCTTAAGTACATCAGTTTGGTTCTGCTGACCCTACAAAATGCTTTGCTCATCCTTGTCATGCGCTACGTGCGTACACGTGAGGGGGAGATGTTCCTGTCTACCAGTGCTGTCATTATGTCAGAGATCTTTAAGTTCATTACCTGTCTTGTTATTATTTTCATTCAGGTATCAATTTTTTCACCCTTTTGAAAATAATTTAAATATTTTTAAAGTGTGATCTGACTTTCAAAAACATTTTATTTAACCTTATAAGAAATGTAATTTTTATATAATTTTTAGGCAGCCTTTTTAACTTTTTCCTTATTACTGATTAAAATTAAAAAAAAAATTTTTTTGCATAAACTTACATCTCGTTTATGTATTTTAAAAGAATTTAAGTTGTTAATTCACTGCAGTGAAAAAAAAGGTGCTGAATAACTTGCTTTTGCAGACTGGGAGCATTAGAGCATGGCTGAAGCTACTCTATGAAGACATCATCCTAGAGCCCATGGATTGTGTCAAAGTGTCGATTCCATCTATCATCTATGTTCTACAGAACAATTTGCTTTATGTTGCTGTCTCTAATTTAGATGCTGCTACATTTCAGGTATTTAATTAATCAAATATAACTGTGCCATGGTAATTTAAAATATCAGATTTTTAGTTAAGTGAGCTTACAATATATTTTAAATGTGACTATGTGAGTGGTAGTTTTATATTTTTATTTATATAGTAAAATTAAAATTAGCCCAAAGTGTGACATAGCCACACAATTTTTGTGTTTATATTAATCAATGAAGACTTTATTGACTGAAAAAAATACAATTTGATTTATTTTTCAGGTAACATATCAGCTAAAAATTCTGACCACCGCCATTTTCTCAGTTGTTATGTTAAAAAAAGTGCTGAGCAAATTCCAGTGGGCTTCACTGGTCATTCTCTTTGTGGGCGTGGCCATTGTCCAGATGCAGCCGGAGAACAGCAAGAAAACAGCAACAGCCACAGAACAAAGCCCAGTCAAAGGACTCATTGCTGTCATCATCTCCTGTTTCATGTCCGGCTTTGCTGGTGTTTATTTCGAGAAAATCCTCAAAGGCACGAGGCAGTCAGTTTGGCTACGGAACGTTCAGCTCGGCGTGTTAGGATCTGTTATAGGTGTTATCACCATGTTTATGAACGATGGTGCTAAAGTACAGGAAAAGGGTTTTTTTAACGGCTACGATTCTGTTGTTTGGTTTGTTGTCTGTCTACAGTCTTTCGGGGGGCTTTTGGTTGCTGTTGTTGTTAAGTACGCAGATAACATCCTCAAAGGATTCGCTACGTCTGCTGCTATTATATGCTCATGCGTGGCCTCGATTTATTTCTTTGATTTCCAGCTGTCCATAGAGTTTACAGTTGGGGCGGGGCTTGTTATAGCTGCTGTGTATATCTATAGTAAATATGTTCCAGAGAGTACACCTGTACTACCAACAGCCAGCAGTAGAAAATTATAAATCAATTTTTTACTGCTAGTTTGTTAGAGCTTAGTTTCTACAAGCAAGATAAAACCACAATAGCAAAACAATTTTTTTTCATTTTGTTGTGGATTATTTCCTACATTTAAAAAGCAAACTTGTATTTTTATATCATCAAATACAGATTTTAAAACATTTTAACTCGAAGTACTGATCTTATTAATTGTGATTCATCATGTTATGAGTATTTTTTCAGAAAGATTTCTATTTAATAATTATTTATCAATTATATGTTACTTACATATTACTTTTTGTACTGCTTCACTAAAACCCTTGTTTAATGTTATTTTTTAACTAGCAATATTGTTGATTAACCAAGACAAGAAAAATATTTCATCCCATTAATAAATAGTGCAAGAAAACGGTTGTGAAGAGAAGAACTGATAAAAATTATCTAGTGTTATTTCGTACGTTAGGTTATGTTAGCCTGTCACCCCTCATGTGACATAGGCCGCTGACAAAAGCTTTTTTGTACTTGTATCAACACAATATAACACAAACGTTCACTGTCTTCAACACAACACTGTGACCTGGTTAATTAAATTCATTTTAAGAGTTCTTTCAGTTGAAAAATAATTTTTTTTCCAATGAAATTTTTTTGTTTGTTTGAAAATTAAAGGTATTGATCATCACTGCTTTAAGTTTAGGCAACATAGTGATAAGTGTTTTATTTCCATTGACTTAAAGTTGTGGGTGTTTTGGTAAGCGAATTCTGTTTTTCCGACTCCTCATTCTGTTTCATTCATCTATACTTACTGGTCTCTCTTTATTTTAATAATATTTCTACATATGTATGTGTGTTCTCAAGTGTTGAAGTAGATGATTTTGTCACTGTAAGTTTCTGTTTACAATTTAGTTGTTTGCTTAGCAAGACAGTTGTGTTAAAATAATAGTTTATTATTGATTTCCCCCCCCCCCCCCCCCAATCAATAAATCAATAAGGACCACATGTTCAACTTCGCCTGTAGTGACTTCTAATAGTGATGAAAGCTGGGGAAAGGCTTAACAGGGCTGAATTTTAATTTTCCAATAATGTGGATTAGAAATGTGATAAAAATTGGATAAATAGTTTATAGATACTTGTGTACTGAAATATATTTCTGTAAAGAATATCCTATTTGAAAATTATACTGCAAGAAAATGGTTAAATTCTTTTACTTGGCTTGATGGTCGATTTTTTTTTTCCCCCATTAAAATGCCATCTTGTATTTACTAGTAAAATATATGTGAAATTGAAAGTAGCTTTATTTCATTGTTTAACAGAACTATTAATAGTTCATTGCTTGTACAGTGTGTTCTGGTTGTATTGGGGAATGGATTAGAGATTGTTTGATTAAACTTGTCTATTTTTTGTAAACTATGGGTCCAGCTTTAGAATTTAATATTTTATATCAATATTTCTCCAAAGATTCTCCATACTTTAAGATTTTAGCAAGGTATGACGTAACCTTGTATTGATTTATAGGCAAACCTGAAACTTGTAACCAGTTTCAATTTAACTTAATTCTTAATTGGTTGAACACATTAAAAATAATCAGCATTATTAAGAAATGGCCACTAAATTTCTTTTAAAAAGATATATTTTCTTTATTTTAGTAGAATCCTGTTATCTCTTACTATAACTCGCGCCAGTGTTTAAAATAACTCACATGCACTAGAGGCCTTATGCTTACTTTTTCGTTTGCATGACTCAACAAGCTATACGTTCAGAAATAATTTGTAAACTTCGAAGCTTAAAATATGTGACATACTCCTGTAATATTAAAATTGACACAGAAGTGTTACTTAATTTCATGGCTAAACCTGTTAACTATTAAGGAATCTCATAATCTGTAAAATTGCATTGGTTTAAGCCGTTTCTCTTTTTATCCCAAGTTTTTCATATTTCAGTATTACAAAGGAAATAACAACGAACAATTGAACTTTTTAATTTGAAAATTATTCTTAAAAATATAACTATCATCACTAAAGTTTAGTGTGGTGATAGTCTTGTCTTCTTCAATTTTTTTATTTATTGAATAAAATTTTCCTGTGGGGTGAGTTTGAACAAGTACCGCATTGTTTTATACTAAGCCGTGAAGCTGTGACTAACAAAATTTTTAATGTTTCTGCATGTGTGCAATTAATTACATGTAAATATGTTTGTATATGTGAGTTTGTACGTATGTATATATATCATATTCTAAATATTAAATAGAAACAATGTTTTCATAGTGGTTATACAATTGGGTAAAACAAATTTTCTTGCACATGATCATTTTTTTCCATAACCATATCAATAATCTTTTTGTTTAATTAATATATTCAGTTGGGTTATCCTACTTTACTAACACACTTTTAAATGTATATTTCATATCCAAATGATTTTTGTTTAGATTAGTATTATCAAATTAGTTATTCAAACATGGATGTGGGAATAAAGTGTTGAGTGACACATTGAGTTGTTCTGGTGCTATACCAAATGTTACCACTGTTATAACTATTTTCTCCAGGCAGGAATAAATACTGTGTTCTCGCTTGTAATGTTGTGCTGGGGTCATAATGAAATTTAAAATAAATATTAACCAAAATATGACAATCTTAAAAAAATAATTATTTTAATTCAAAATGTTTTTAAATTTTTGTGTATGCAAACTACCTGTTTGAATTGATTGTATATATAGCAGTAGTTAAAAAGAAATCCATACTTGCTCTTTATGTCAATTTAGCTTAGTATTTCAGTGCATTAAAACACAGTTTTATGACAAAGAAGTCTATTTTGTGTGAAGTTATATGTTGGCAACCCAGTTCTTCCACCATTGTTTTACATCACGAGCAAATTAGCAACTTTGGGTGTATACGTAGATAAAAACACCCTTTTTTGTGAGATTTGTGAAAGTTTATGAAATCAACATCTGTAGGTTAACATGACTATACAACCAATTAGTAACCAGCTGTCATTCTGAGTTATTGTAAATGTATTGCAAATCGTGTTCAGACCTTTTTTAATACTTTTATTTTGCTTCAGTTATAAGAATGTTCAACATTTTATTTATATTTGAAAAGAAACTTATTTTTAAAAAAATCTTGGTTTATTTATTACTTGTGTGTTTTTCCTTTGATGGTGAAACTAAAGTTGCAATATTTGTTTCATTTTCATAAATCTGAAAGGGGGATTCACTACAGGAATGATATGTACTACATATATTATTGAATCATGAATGTTACCATGCTTTAGCTTTTTTTTTAATTGTCACCTTTTCAAGGCTTTTAGAAGTCTAGGGATCTTTAAAAATGGGAATAAACTATGTAAATCTATAAAATAAAAATGTAAGTTCTATTAAATTTTTTTTGCAGATTTAATATTTGTACTAGCATGAAAATTTAGTTCATCTGAGAGATGATTACTGCCAAAAATGCTAGATATATAAGTTATAACTAATTTGTTTTTAATTATTACATAATTCATATCACAGCTTTATTATTAAATGTAGCCAACTTTTAAAATAGCAATGCTTTTTATATTAAACCTGCTCATGCCAAACTAACCTTTATATTTCTTCTGTAATTTTGCTTAACTTCTCATCCTAATATTTCATATGCACCTTCAACAGAGGTTTTTTTTTATAATTATGTTAAACATAAAAACTCATGTTGTATGTAAATGGTTAAAATATTTTTATTACATTTTTTGTAAGATAGAGATGTTGGAATTCTTTTTAAAAAAATGATTGTGTTCTGTGTTAATTATGTTTGTGGATAAAAAATATATGGTATGAAATTATGGTGATACTGTTTTCTGTGAACTTACAAATTAGTTTTACCTTTTGTTTTGAAGTTATGTTCATGATAAAAAAAATGTTAAGTTTGATCCTTGAGCTTTCAAGGTACTGAGGGATAGATGAAATAAATGGTTGAATAATGAAATGTAAGTTGTTGTGTTAGTTTCTTTACATACATTTGAGATATTGAAAATTGTCAAAGAAAGACAGTTAATTTGAAGATGATATTTTGACATAGGCCTACATTTAGACATAAGTATTCATAAAAAAAAGTAGCCAATTCTTTAGAAGTTGAATTTAAAAAAATCATGTTTAACACAGATCTGAAAAAATATGTAGTTTTTCCAATTAAATATTAGTTAAATGGGATTGCTAACAGGTTGTGTAACATGAAAATAATCATAAATATTGTAGAAAAGCTCTATTCAACACATTTAATATATATCTTCTTTTAAAACAAATGTACAACACAAATTTAAAATAAAAACTAAAATTCTTGAGATTAGTTAATATGTGAATAGAATTTAATTGAAATAGTAATTAATAATATATGCATATTTATAAAATATACATTTTAACAGCATTTACAGTTTAATTTGCATAAAAATATACAATTTTAAAACAAGCTTGAACATTGAAAACAATGTACAATGGCACCATGCGGTTAAAACTTGCATACAATTTTTTATTTTTCAGGCAGGCACATTAAATAATGTAGATTATGTGGCTACAACTAAAGTCTGTTAGGGAGTTGACATGGATCAGAGCTTTATATTATGTGGGCTGTAGGGCTGGAATGGATGAGGAGACAAGTCTACCTTTTATGTACAGAAGTAAACATGCACAGTTTATTATAAAAAATACATACTTTACTCAAAGCTAGTACTAGTAATTATTTATTTCGATCATTTGGCACATGATGATAAACGTGCTCTATTTTGTCAGTGGTAAACAAAAATTTCTCACAGGAAAAAGTTGTGCCACAAATACCATCATTTTAACATTGAAAGAATGAGTGAAGCTGAGAGCTGCCGGAGACAAATGTAAACAACAACATCAATATGTCCATCACAACACGATCACAGGGGGATGCTGGGATGTGAAGTTAGACTCAGATCTATGGAGTGTTTCCTCTAGCACTGTCAGGCAGCTCTGGAAACTGTCTGAGACTTTTCTTGATGTGCTATCTGGGGATGGAAAAATTACCCTCATTAAACCCATGACAAGTATATCATGTCATATCATTCTAAACCTGTTGAAGTGGATTACTACAGCTATGGTTACATTGTATCAATGTTTTGTGGCTTGGAATAAAATATTTTCTTACACATAACTACAATGAAATAAAAATTTGATATATGAAAGATACATTTTCCTTTCTAATATGTGTTTATCTTTATCACTACTATCAGTTATAAATCTCGGTTCAATTAAGTTGAATCAATCTGAATTGTTTAACTTATTCTGTGTTCTCTGACAATTAAAATGCTTCAAACAAATATGTGTGAGTGAAACAAAGCTGGAGCATTAGAAAAAAAAAAGAGATGGGATCCTTCAGTAGTTAACCATATATTTTTTTTAACAATGCATAGTCATAACAATATGTGTAGCAAACAGGATATAAACGTAAAGACTATGCTTCTACAGGAGGAAAAAGTTCTTAATTCAAGTTCACAACAAACAAATCTTTACAGCTTTTATTTCATTTAATTTTTTTATTAAGCACTTTGTGAAATTAAATTAAGTAATAATGGTAAGAGATATAGCCACTTTTTTTAAAGAACAAAATGGTGTAAAAATCTTGAAAAAAAAACAACAAACAAACTAAACATGGATTTTGAGCAGTCTGATGAGGTAACTTTTCTAAATGTATAATCCTATGGTTAGATTGGAATAGTCAACAAGTAATGAAAACTTTTCTGGATGTACTGTTAAATGTACTATGGATATATTACACAACTGAGACTTTTCTTAATGCACAAACATAAAACTGCATTATGCTTGACATTGTTAAAACTAGTAATGAATTAAGAGCTTGTATACAATAAAAGTCTTGGAGTTGTTTCAAACTATTCTCAGCAATGAAAAAAGGTTAACTTGTCTTACAAGTAAGGTGGGTATGTAAGTAAATCAAACACTTATGGGAGTTTACAACAGGAACTCACCTAAAACCTGGAACCTGACATCTAGGTCAGACTTTGACTTTTTACTCAATTTAGAATGAATTTGTCGAATTTTATTAATATCTGTGAGAAGCTGAAAGAAAAACATTAGATATTAAAGACACAAGCACACCAAAAAACATTTCACCTGGCTATTAGATGTTACATTGAAATAATAATATAAAACTCTATCATTCCTATTTAGATATAAACTTATAAGAAAGTAACACACAGACCAATTTAAAAAAAAGCCATAAATTCCTCTACCTTGATAAACTGTTGTAGATAGCCATGAACCCTCTTTAAAACAGGCCCAAGGTCAGACAACTCTGGTGGTGTTTTATTGCACCACTGGCTGATGCTGGACTCGTAGCACTGGGTAAAGCCCTCAGCCAGCTGACGCAGTTCTTTCAGCACTGTGGACAGCATGTGGGTCGTGGTCATAACCTCCTGGTTCTTGCTCTCACCTTGCAGAGTTAGCTGGTGGTAAATACATTAAATGCATCAAAACTGAGAGGTTAAATTATGGTAAATAAATAAAAAATGAGAGGTTAGATGGTGGTAAATACATCAAAATTGAGGGGGCTAGTTGGTGGTAAATACATCAAAACTGAGAGGTTAAATTGTGGTAAATAAATTTTAAAAAATGAGAGGCTAGATGGTGGTAAATACATCAAAACTGAGGGGCTAGTTGGTGGTAAATAAATCAAAACTTAGAGATTAAATTGTGGTAAATAAATAAAAACTGAGAGGTTAGATGGTGGTTAATACATCAAAACTAAGGGAGGTTAGTAAAGGTAGTTGGGCATAGGGCTGACCACATACTCCCTTCATACACCAAAGTCAAGAAACATGAACTCTACTTCATATGTCCAAAGGATCATAAAGTCTAAAGAGGAACTTTACTCATTAACTTAATTTTTTACCAGTTATTATATATACATAGAGCAAACATACATACAGATAGATTAAATAACATTAATACTTTCTCTGTTATGAAGTTAAAATTGGATACCTTCGCTTTTAAACCATTTAATGTTGCAGTTTGTTTCTCTAAGGCTGTACCCAAATTGTTTGATAGATCATTCAAATCCTCTAAGGTAGATACCGGATAGGCTCTGATCAATAGGATCATACAATGTGTAAGATACATGACAAAGTAAAAAAATAAAATAAATAAGTAGTGATAGTTAAATTATGCATTCATAGGCAACTGTTTTAAAGTAAAAAATAAAATTGTTACACATTTATTAAAAACTTTTAACAATAACATACTTATCTCCCTTCCAGCCTTCCTTGCGCCACATTTTCTCAACTTCAGTCTGGATATCCTTTGGTAACAGATCCACTTTTGTATCCAACATTGTGGAGAATCCCTCCTGATTCACAATTTCCTCTAGGTAAGAGTTAGGATTCTCTGGTCTAGGGACAAGTAACACGTTTATAACAAATACATGAGTCACTGCAAAAATGGGGGCTTAATATTTAATTAGGGAACAAATAACATTCAGGAAAATAAAAAGCTACTTATAGTGAAAAAAGTACTGAAAATGTACACATTAACATGTTGAGCCTGCGCAAAATCAATGTTTTGAAATATATTTTAAAGCTAAGATAAAGAAAATTACATAAAATATACAAACACAAAATTTTTTTTAGTTTTGAAGTTTATGTAAATTGAAAAAAATCCAACTGGTAATACCAGAATTCATGTATAATTAACTAAATATAATTACAATCGATTGGCATTTTTAAAAAAAAGGATGTTTGTTTTCATCAAAGAAGAGAATAAAAAAATTAAATAAACTAACCTTGATGTATCTTGGTTGAACTCACTATCTCTAATGCAGACCAAGTCCAGTAATCTATCAATAAACTGTATCTGTTTTGGTAGTGGACTATCTCCCTTGTAACAAATATTTAATTAAAAAAATCAAATAAAAATAAAGAAAGTTTGTCTGTTTTAAAATAAGCTTAATATAGATTTAAAAAGTAAACAAAGAATAAAAACCAAAATAAGCGACCAATGTGAAAGATTACACTTACTCGTATAAGCTCTACATCATCGTAACGGCACAAACACATTGCCGAAGCAGCCGTCAAAAGTCCTAAACATAATTAGATGAATAAATTAATAAACGGAAAAAAAACCCAAAATTTTAGTAAAACATTTTTACAAAATATATTTTACAAGTTGAATCTTTTACTACAAGAACTCAAACCAAACTGAAGGTGATTATAAAAAAAATTTAGTAAAACAATATTACGTTGAACTCTAGATTCATTTCTAGCTCCCAATGAAGGCTGCGAGGGATCCAGCATTTCAGCTAATGAGGAATCATATCTAATTGAGAAAACAGAATGCAAAAAAATGCAATTAAAATAAGTAAAAAATGAAGATTAAAGAGAAGTACTAGCTACTGGTTTACTGATTATCACAGTGAGTATAGCTGATGATACATCAACACATTATGGCTAGGTATGGGTTGAAATCTTGTTATAAAATATAAGTGCTGCATTGTAAATAAGAGAAATTGACAAGTACAATTTTTTAATGAAATGTATTAATTGCATTTGTATACTAAAGGGCAGGGCTTTCTCTGTTTGTTGCCATCATATGTAGCCTAAATGGTTAACTAAAACTGGGAAATTAATATATTCCTAGGTTAATCGTATTAGTATGTTAACTAAATTTTTTTTAATATTCAAAACCAAGTAAGCGTATGAACTTTTGTGTTATTACCTGGAAAATAACCATTGTAAAATTTTGAATCTACTCTCTCCTGGACTGAGTAGGATATCTGATGTTGTAGCCTCATCCAAACTTTCCGTAAATGGACATTCAAGAGCCTGAAAGTAATAATAAATAACAAATGGTTTTATCAACTAGTTAGATCCATCCCACTTTTCAAAAATTAAGTTTTAATGATAATGACATTGACAATGGTACTTTAATTTTAAAATTCTTTAGTGACTTTAGTTAGTGTTGACTTTCTATTACATGACATTACCAGTGTCTGCTAATTTTCACTGGTAAAATTACTGATAATATTCTAAATACAAATATTGATTTGCTAATATCAACAATAACTCTACCCGGCCTAACCCAAGTCCTACCTAGTTTTTACCTAGTATCTAAGCCGCCTAAGGCCTAATCCTAATTTCTGACCAAAAACACTATTAGGCCTAGAATGATAAATTTGGTGTTTTTATCAATGGGGTATATATTATAGGATTAATCTGTGTCCATTTTATCATTCTATGATAATTAGGACCATTTTCCCAATATGCCTACTTTACTTCTTCAGTTGTTACACTGACTTTCACTTTGTACTTTGTGTAGGTAAAACTCCATTTTAGCGTATTTTATTCCCCGCTGCACGCTCACCTCCAGTTGAGCGTATTATATTATAAACACAACCTAAACACACAAAAACGTTAGGAAAGCATTTGGCTTATTTCTTTATGAAGTTTTGATTTAGTTTTGATAATTTACTTTTGTCAAAACTTGAGAAAAATCCAAATTTGGAATATTGAATGCTATAAATAAACTTTTATGAACTCACGATGACCCCAAAACTGAGGCCAACACCATTTTGAATAGCTATGATGTATGCTGGTAATTAAAATCAATGTAGTCAATGTGAACTCACGGTGAACCCTCGACCTTGTAGGGATTATTCTCACGCTGACGATCACACGCTATTTAATTGGAACTGTCCTAGTGATTTTTTATGTTTTTTTTTTACCTTTTCTAATTTAAATTAAAACTCACATTCATATAAAAAATAAATAGAGAGTCTAGTAATAGATCTAGACATCTAGCTTGTTGTGTGCTGACGAAGACCTTGGGTCGAAACGTCCATAGTACTTGTAACTGTCTTTAACTTGTGAGGTAACTAATACTATCTGTTTTATTACTAATGACATCTAGCTTTAATGATCTAATCCTAGTGTTTTCCTAACGCGTGGTTCGGTTGTGTTTATAATAAAATACGCTCAACCGGAGGTGAACGTTAAGCGGCGAATAAAATACACTAAAATGTAGTTTTACTAGTATTTCTCACTAACTTGGAGGCGTGGTCGGTTGCTAACAACAATATGGCGTCCGAACCGGACGCTTGACTTCCGACGATTTTTCGGCCAAATTCCAGAGACCTTCTACTAATTAGTTTTTAAAATGTTTACCACGCGCAAAATGGCGGGACTTTCACGTTATAACAACAAGCTATAGGTGGCAGGGCTATATATGCCAGAAAAGCATTTTAAAATTTGCGTTGGAGAATGAAGGCTAAATTTAAAAGTTGGTTTCATCAAAAATACTAGAACTTTTTAAATATCGATTTCCATATTACAAAATTGATTTCCATAGTAAAGCATTATTAGTTTTATCAGTCTATGAAAAAATAAATCAAATATCGTCAACCCTTTTTTTATAAGACCAGCCACAAAAATGACAACCAAATTTTTTTTTAAAAATAAACCACGTGACCACTATTTGGAGATCACTAGTGAGGAACTCTTGTGCATGGCCACTTAAAAAGTCTAACCTGATTTGTGGTTTTCTTTACCTTCAAGGGTTAGAAGAGTTGTCATGGAGAGATGTGTTGGACATGGCAGTGATTGACAATAAATATTAAATTAAGTAATTTAGTTTAAAAAGAACTAAAATCTCCAAAGTTAGTGCCTAATGGATTAAATATTGATGTCTATTATTCAGTGGTCATGTTTAAATTGATAATTGCGTAAATTCTAGATTTTGTGAGAAAAACCAAGTTTTACCCTTTGTGTAAGCCTATCATTTTTAAGAACTGTAAATTAATGTGTGTCGTTACTCTTTCTGACAACCCCCACCCCCCCTCTTTTCAAACACCACCTCTCCTCTTCTTCTTCATTCTTAAATTTTAGTGTTGGAGGGGATCGAGCCTTATCTGGCAAGAGGGTTTGAACTCGAGACTTTTTCGAATTTATCAACCATTCGTCCATTAGTTTAGCTGACTCGACAACGTCTCCATCACAATTATTTTGAATTAAGGATACGTGACTAATTATGTGTCAACTGGTTATGCACCATTGAGGCCACTGACTCCGATTTCAGCTTGCTTTTATTTTGGATTTGCTTCCATAGCCTTTGCCCAACCATGAACAAACTACAAGGCAGCAGTTGTTTGATTTTGGAGTTGTCTCTCCTAGAAGAGTGGCTGTCCCGCCAGCGAACGAGCCTCATCTGTAGGCATTCCGACTTCCGCTGTTTAGATTCGGTATTCAACATCCGGACTTTTCGATGCAGTCTTTATAAAAACTCGCCCTTTTCCGAAGAATGCCGAATCTCACTGTTGGAATCGAGTTTTTAGAAATATTCGATATAGATATTCTAGTGTAGTCGTATTATATGTTTCAATTAGAAAATTACCGCCATTATGACAATCTTTAAGCCGAAATCCATCGCACGATTCTAATGAGTTTATCTCGCGAACATGTCCCGTACGGTGCTGTCACATTTTAAATAAGTTTACGTATTAAACACATTATAAGTGTCTTGCCATTAGTTGTAAGTGTCCATTAAATAAACAAATATTATTATAATAACGGTTTTATGGCACTTACTACTTCTGCTTACGAGTTATCATACATGTCAAATCCCCGAGCTAGCGCTTCGGCCTTGACAACGCCATGGCGTCGGTTTAGCACAGCATTACCTATTATCGATAAAATACGCGCACTAATGCCAATGACGTAGTTTTCGAAGTTGGAAAGAATTTAAATTGTGGGTGGCACTGTTAAAACTAGATAAAATACGTTGATCAAGTTATCTATTAAAACCGACAGGCAAGAAGCTTAGGCTTACATTAAATAGTGTTAAGCATTTCACACATACCTACTTACTGACTTACTTAGATTTAAGGCTAATACTAATAGCCTTTAATATTTAATATACTATTATACTTTATACTATAAATAAGTTATAGGCCTATTTCTTAGTATAACTAATGCTATATACTATATGTATCGATTGATAAAGTAAGTCTGGGCCTATTATTGGTTATGATAAGTAAAGAAGCTTGGTGATAAACTTATTTAATTATTTGTAATAATTATGCTTATGACATTAGTAAATAATTAACAAAAGGTGCAGCAATTGACATGGGGGGGGGGGGTACTAATTAATAAGGCAGTGAATTTAGAATGACATGAAAAAGGCATGATAATTATTATTCATAATAATTTAGGATACAATTTTTACATTTAATAATAAAAAGTAACAAAAAACAAATAACAACAAACAATACGGATTTAAATCACTGCATGTTGCCAATATATATATTCATATAAGCAGATAGACAGGGAAGCTGTAACTTCTGATTTGGTACAAATTAACACTTAGCTTAATAAACTTTTACAAGAATTTAAGGTTTTTCTATTGATTAGTAATTTAGTTGTACCAAAATATCAATAGGGTCTTATAAAGGCCCTAGTATATTAAAGTAGTTTCCCTTTTGGACCTGTCAATCCATCATCCATAAAGCAGCTGAAGTAGAGTTTATCTTTTCTTGACCCATGCACATGAAGTGATGGTGTGGTTAGCTCTCTGCCAAGCTATCTTTACTTTCCCTTGGGTCAGGTACTCATCTGAGCTTGGTGGATGCTGCACGCTGCACAGACAGACTCGTCTGAGATCTGAGCTTAAGACTTGCATGTTAGTAGTTGAGTGCTTTAACACACCATCCCTAGTTTTATTTTTCAGCATTCTTCTTATTACATGCTTCAGTATCAATAACCAAAATGTATCCTATCTATTATAGTAACATTCTGGACATACGTCTGTTGCAGTCACTATAATTACTATAAAAGGGTGCAACACCCTTTCATAGGACTTTTTAATTATATGCAGTCATACTTAATATAATTTTTTTCTATATTTCTATTGCCCCCACCCTCTAGCAAAGTTTCAATTTTAATATTAAAAAAAAAAAAACATAGACTTTCAGTCTGCATATTGACCTATATAGAACAGCACCCCTCACTTTAATTTGACTTGATTAGTTCTAATTATCCTTCATCAAATTTTGATTTTACTTTCATATTTCTATTGCCCACACTCTCTAGCACTAATGTGCAAAGTTTTATAATTATATCTCGAATAGCAGCAGTGGTATGCAAGCCTAAAGCCAATCACACAATTAAATCCGATGTTACAGTGATATATAACAGGTTTAATACATAACTTTAAAAATTCATATAAAAAAAACTATTAGGCCTAGAATGATAAATTTGGTATTTTTATCAATGGGGTATATTATAGAATTAATCTGTGTACATTTTATCATTCTATGGTAACTAGGAAAAATATCCCAACATTCCTACTCATCTGCCCGAGGGCTCGAACTCGCATTTCGGTTTAGCAACCATGAGCTTTACTGCTGCTTTACCGACTCGACCACGCCGACCCCTACCTCTCCTCTAAAAGTGACGTTTTAAAGCGTCCACTTAATCACTTTTTAAGATACTTACGTCCAATCTCTCTTTGAAAGTTATTTTGTGCACTTTTCTTAAGGGCGCCGCCATTTTCTACAGATAAAATTACCTTTTCCCCGGAAAGAGCTCTATACTTTTACTTGCCAGATCAATTTGGCGAAAATTAAATTTAAAAGTTAATAATATAAGAATTTCTTTCGCCTCTTGAAATTCTTTTCAAATTTATAGTCTCGCAGAATATCATTACAATCGTAAAATGTCAAATATCATTACGAGGGATGGTTCAAAAAAGCAATCCTCATTCGAATGTCTTAGTGCAGGGTCGGCAACCTTTTGAGACGGAAGAGCCAAAAGTTACAATTTACCTAATTTCCAAGTTTTTAAAGAGCCACTAACATTTTTATTTCAATATTATCATTTTGACAATATATATATATATATATATATATATATATATATATATATATATATATATATATATATATATATATATATATATATATATATATATATATATATATATATTGTCAAAATTCAATATTATCATTTTGACAATATATATATATATATATATATATATATATATATATATATATATATATATATATATATATATATATATATATATATATATATATATATATTGTCAAAATTCAATATTATCATTTTGACAATATATATATATATATATATATATATATATATATATATATATATATATATATATATATATATATATATATATATTGTCAAAATTCAATATTATCATTTTGACAATATATATATATATATATATATATATATATATATATATATATATATATATATATATATATATATATATATATATATATATATATATATATATATATATAATTTCAAATAAATATATTTAAATATGAAATAATATTTATTCATATAAAAACATACACATGTTTCCAGAAAAAAATATGAACGTATTTTATCTAACTCTGCTAGAATAATAAAATCAGTAATCAAATTATATAACTTTAATTATTGAATATATTTACAATAGTTTGGCCTTGCTTGCCTTTTAAAAGTTTGTTTAAACCTTCAGTTTCAAGCACTCCTCTATTACTTAGTTAGTTGGCTTCTATACTTTGTATTACATTCATGCAAGAAAACGCTTGCTCGCATGAATGTTGACCCGAAAATCGTCGGCACTCCAAATAACAACTTTTTCACCTCACTATGGCATCATTGAAGACTATTCAATTTGTCACATAAAATCGCCTCAACTCGCGGCATTTCTTTTAGAGCATTCAACTTGTGCAGCGAAACGTGCATGTTTTACTGGACCTTCAAATCTTCTAACTTGCTCTTAATATATGTGAACTTACCTACTCCACAAATGTTTGGTTTTCAAATCTAGCAATTTCATTTGAAGCGAACCAGCATCAATTCCAAATAGCTCAAAGTTAATCTCATTTGTTTTTGTGTTGAGAGCATCTACTATGAACGCCATAGTACCTGCATTTCTTTTGAATTGCTCAAATCTCTCAGTGAACTCACCCTTATTTTTGTTTATTGTAATGAAGAAGTAATTCATGTTATTAGTAGCGTTGGTTTTATCACAACATTTTTTTTTCAAAGTTTTCGAAATAAAGTAATTTACCGCTCTCCGCGTCTTCAGCAAAAAGATTTAATTTTTTTTTTCGAAACAAACTTCTTCAAGCAAAGCATATGCTGGGTTTTCCTTTCTTTGAAGTTTTACATTTAGCTCATTTAGTTTCTTTGTGATATTCCCCTATGAAGTCGAGTCGAATGTTTCAATTTGGGATAGACAAGTTAATATGAAGTACATTAAAAAAAGTGCTTATTGTTTATATTTTTATTATATCGTTCATCACCGAGTGTTGCAGAAAAAAATGTTGATGAGTTTTTGAAAATAAAATAATTATAATTATTTGTGAAAGGAGTTGAAGAGCCGCATCTCGACACCAAAAGAGCCGCATGCGGCTCGGGAGCCGCAGGTTGCCGACCCCTGTCTTAGTGACTTCTTAACTGACTTAAAGTTTATTCATTTACTTTTGGCATAGGGGTCGTCCATAAGTGACGGTTACTAGGGGCAGATAATTTAGTTTGAAACGATTTTAAACTTAGGGGAGGTAACTAAGAGGAGGCTGTTTTCACGGGGGTGGGGTAGGGGTTGGGGAAAGGGGGTATCGTCCTTAACGAGCTACTGATAGTGTTTTAAAGCAAATATATTAAGTGGCAGCATGGGTACTGTTGAATTCACAAATTATGAATTACTGAAAAGTAGAAAATAAAACAACTAAATAGCGGCGTATGATACGCCGCGGGTCGGCTCGTATATATATATATATATATATATATATATATATATATATATATATATATATATATATATATATATATATATATATATATATATATATATATACATATATATATATATACATATATATATATATATATATACATATATATATATATATATATATACATATATATACATATATATATATATACATATATACATATATATATATATATATATATATATATATATATATATATATATATATATATATATATATATATATATATATATATATATATATATATATATATATATATATATATATATATATATATATATATATATATATATATATATATATATATATATATATATATATATATATATATATATATATATAATTCTCTTCTTGGAGACGTTAGAAAACACCAAGCTGTAACCGCGCCTAGCAGTCCCCACCACCACCCCCACATGGTCTGGTGAGCTGTGGTTCACGCTAAATGTTTACAATCGTAGAGCCGGGTTTAGTGAAGCCTATTAGGGGCAGATAATTTAGTTTGAAACTATTTTAAATTTAGGGGAGGTAACTAGAAGGAGGCTGCTTTCACGGTGAGGGGGGGGGGGTAGGGGATGGGGGGGGGGAAGGAGGGTTTTAGTGTTTTAAAGCAAATATTTTCAGTGGCAGCATTGGTACTGTCGAATTCACAAATTATGAATTACTTAAAAGTAGAAAATAAAACAACTAAACAGCGGTGTATGATTCGCCGCGGGTCGGCTCGTTAAGCTATATTTTCCTTATCATAAAAATTAAAATAAAAAAAATGTGATCGTAACTGTATTAGAGAGTGACATTGTTTCCCCTGTTAAGATACTGCTCTTTCATCTTTTTAGTCGAGAAATAAAACTTTAATTTACAAGTAATGTTATTTTGTGTCTGAGTAAATGTTGTTTGTGTTGTGTTATCATGTTTTGTATTTGTTCTGTGTGAAGTGTTATTATATACAACCAGGACTGCATGCATCGTTTTAACATTTTAAAATTTGAGAATATTTCCGTTTTTAATGACTTAAACAAGTTTTGTTGATAAGTAAAGTAGGCCTTTTTAAGAAAAAAACAAAAACAAACAAACAAAAAAAACAAAAAAAAAAAAACACACTTTTCTTCTAGACTCTGCTGTCCAACAAACAGACAGAGTAGAGTTGAACTTTCTCTGACCTCGGAAAGTGGAATGATTCTGTGGCTGTCACACTGCCAACAGCCGCCTTAAATCTTTCGAGGCTAGCTTAAGCATCCACTCGACCACCGTCGTTACAAGTTTTACACGGGAAAGGTTGATTCAGCTAAAGAGCCATTTTTACTGGGACGCTATCAATTGTCGCACTCAGTCTAAAATGAGAACTTTAACATTGCAAGTGAAGAGAAGTTGCAAATTCAACAAGGTTGATAAAAGGTCTACAAGGTTAGTTTCAAGGTTGAAAGGTCAACAAGGTTAATTTCAAGGTTGAAAGACCAAAAAGGTTAATTTTAAGGTTGTAACGTCTACAGTGTTAATTCGAAGGTTACAAAGTGGACTGAGCTAATTTCAAGATCAAAAGTTTCACACAATTAATTCTAAGGCGGCAAGGTCTACAAGATGAATTGCAAGATTACCAGGTTAACAAGGCTATTTCTAGGAAGGCAAAGTCTACAGGGTTAATTTTGTATAAGGACGTGTTTCGGCTTCATCCTACACCATACACGACCACCTTTTCACATTCAACAAAACTTACCAGGTCTTTAACCCCACTTCCGGATTTGTTAACCCCTCTCACGTGGTCACAAAGTCTAGCTGCCCCCACCCTCAGAAATATGACGTCATTTTTCACGACCCCCCCTGCCCCGCTTTGTTAAGACTATTTTTAAGTAAAAAATCTACACATCTCAAAAAATATATCCTTTCCTTTATTGCCGTTTCCGCTGGTTTATTTTTTTAGGATTTAATATTTTTAACCCCTAATTTTTTTTTTACCCTCGTTTTTCTTTTCGTCATTGTCACAGCTCGTAGTGATGGGATTATAAACATGGAGGGTGTGTCCGAGTGTCTCCACATTTGTTCCCCAACATATCTGCTAAATCACACCTGGGGAGTCTAGCTGTGGTGCATCGTTCTGATAAAGTTGTGGATAAATTCTTATCTAGACAGTGATATAAGTTTGTAGGAAGTGCTTTTCTAAGTGGATAGCTTCCCTTGTGAGCAAAACAATATTTTTAAAATGTTTAAAATTTTAAAGCAAATATACTAAACAAAAATATAAATGATGTTTTGACTAAAAACAAGTTCAGAGTAAAAAATGTAAAATAGTAGGTCCGATCAGGAAAAAAACCTTTAAACTTAGGTTACTAATCTAAATTTTTTAAAAATAATTTAAAACACTTTTTACCATTATTTGTATACAAAATATTTTTGCTAATGTTTTTTTTTTTTTAAATAGGAAATTAATAGTTAAGTTAGTTTAAAATATGCAGTTAAACATAACCCACAGTTACCAACATAGGGCGTTGTGTATTCAACATTCAAGGCGCTTTAAATCACTTTGACCTACTAGAATCTAGTGTCATCATGTACATTAAAATAAATTATATCTAGGCCTAGGAGAAATGTAGAATATCTCTGTTGTATTCAATATTTTTTACTATGTTATGGAACAATAAAGTAATATATGTATTAAATAAATACATGTATATACATGTATTTCTCTTGTTCTCTATAATATTATACTCAATCATGATCTAAAAATACCCGTATCATGAGATTT